TGGGCACTTCTCATTCCGGGAAAGGATCACCCTGCCCGCAGCACCCCCTTCCTGCCATCTGGGTCCCCGTGGTTCCTCCACTGGCTCGTGGCCGGTTTGTTATCTTAGGGTCGCCAAAGCTCCAAGTCTAGCTCAATCTTCTCGTTTTACAAAAGGAGCAACAAAAGCTCAGACATATAATGATTTTTTTTTTAAATGTGCTACTCTGGAATTTCCCTACCCTGCCTTCCAGCGCAGGACTTTTGGGTACAATTGGTACAGTTGATGTTGAAAACTTCCTGATTTCTCTATCCAACCCGAGCTTCCGTTTTAGAATCAGACGGGAATTCCACCGCCCCTGATCAGACATGTGACCTGGAGTGAGACACAAGCGGTCACGTTAAAACTCTTCTAAGAGCACCCCACAGGACTGATGGGATGCTTAGCATGGACGCGATGCCTGGTGCAGAGGAAAGAAGAGGAAAGCACTGTGCGTGATACTGTTAAGAGCTGCCCTTGGAGTGTTCTCAAGATTTGGACACAGAAGGGAGGCAGGACAAGGGACTAGGATATGTAACTAGAGCTGCTTTTAATTTGCCCTGAGCTCAGCTAGCACCCTTGAGTGCCAATTCTTTTTCCAGAAGACCTCTGAAGAGGTTTCTCGGCTGCGCCCTCCCCAGCTTCACTTCATCTCATTGGGCACCTATGGCCATAAGCGAGGCTGCCAAGTGCGGTCTTTACGCAGACATATGGGCCCCTCCAGGACAATCTGGGTTGAGTGGATGTCGGGTAGTCAGTTTTCAGATGGCCACACTGCCGCCATGCCAGGAATGGGTGCAGTCAGGCTTTGTGGACATACTCCGCAGAAGCCATCATCGAACAAACCGTTGTTGACTTTACTACGTACCAGGAGCGTTAAACGTGCTTTTTCTGCATTATTTAAGACTCATAACACCCGCCCGTGTAGTGGTAGGTACTGTTCTTAGACTCATCCTACAGTGAGAAAGGGAAGGCTTAGTAGTACAAGATACAGCCAGGATATTCTGGCTTAAACAAAAAGATCTAAGGGGAAGTCGGCTGGGCATGGCCTGGACCACCACTCAGAGCAAACCCTTGGGTTCTAGTTCAGTCATTACGTCACCTACTTGGAGTATCAACCATGATCGGGCACAGAACCTTAATGAACTCTAGTATTCCCATAAGTAAAATGAAGGCGTTCTACTGGCTGATTGCTTTCCAGTGGTTCCATCGCCAGATTGCTGCGTGGGTTCATGTTTCTATGTTGTTAGCCACAGGCTTGTATAAAAGCACATCAGTGTTTGCGGTCTGCCTGAAGTACGGGGGTGCCTCACTTCGTCCACAATGAAGAAAAACATCAACCTATGGAGTCTTCTATTGACTCTTGCCATTCCAAATGGCTTTGTAATGCGAATGGGAAGTCTCCAGGACCCTGCCGAGCACTGGGGACACCATGCTATAACTTCTAGACTAGACTAAGTATAAGAACCATTGCTGTTCTAAAAGACTTTTCATGAGAAACCCTGAGGTTAATTAATAGCTGTTACTTCCTTTCTTAAAATAGAGCCTCACTACAAAAGTAGCACTGGTGGTGGTATAGGGTAAGCAATGAACTGCTAACCACAAGGTTAGTGGTTCAAGTACCTTAGCTGCTCCACAGGAAAAAATTGAGGCTGCGCCTATAAATATTTATAGCCTTGGAAAACCTCTATAGCAGTGGTTCTCAATCTTCCTAATGCCACTTCCTAATCTTCCTAATGCCACTCAATCTTCCTAATGACCCTTTAGTATAGTTCCTCATGTTGTGGGGACCCCCCAACCATAAAATTATTTTCATTGCTACTTCATAACTGTAATTTTGCTACTGTTATGAATTGGGCGACCCCTGTGAAAGGGTCATTCAACCTCCAAAGGGATTGCAACCCACAGGTTGAGAACCGCTGCTCTATACTGCAGGCATCCTCAAACTACGGCCCACGGGTCATGTGAGCCTGCCGAAGACACTTATCGGCCCACCAGGTGTTTTTGCCCCATTTGTTTTTTTACTTCAAAATAAGATATGTGCATAGGAATTTGTTCATAGTTTTTTAAAAAAAAAACTATAGTCCGGGCCTCCAACGGGTCTGAGGGACAGTGAACTGACCCCCTGGTTAAAAGTTTGAGGACCCCTGCTTATAGGATCGCAATGAGCCAGCATTTTACAAAATGTCTTTTTAATATAGGGGGTGGTTTGGATGAGATGGTAGGTAAGGTGACTTCCTGTTCTAAAATTTTATCATCAACAGACACCCTTCCATAAAATGGAGAGCACTTAGACCAAGGCCAGCTTCCTATCCCACTATTTGGAGGGAAGTCAGAGACAGAAGGCCCAGGAGGGGCCGTGCGTAATCTGGCTAGGAAGAAGACTGCAAGCCAAGCATTACGCTTTGTTTGCAACCAGTGGGTGAGAGGTCGCTAGACCCCATGGGATGCTGAGATCCAGTTCAGCCTGCTGAGATGGGTCCCCAGGCTTCCACAGTCATAGAGCCGTGGAAACCACAGCTCTCCACGTCATCTGAGGGGCATTTGAAGTTAAAGTCAGACCCGAGTCTTGCACTATCAACAAAACAAACAAACAGGTGCCTGTCCTGCAGTAGAGCCAGCTCATCTTGAGCCTATCGGACAAAGTAGTTCTGCCCCATAGGATTTCCAGGACTAAATCCTTAAGGAAGAAGATGGCCGCTTCTTCCTCCGGAAGGCCAGGTGGCAGATTTGAACCACTCATCTTTCATGCGATGTGCTAATTTCGGTTTCATACTTTATGTTTCTTCTTTGAGAAATAGAAACCAAGATTTCTATTCAGGTCAGAGGAAACAGACAGACGAGCAAGAACCCACCTGTGATTAATAGAATAGGGAACTGATCTTTGTGATTGTAATGATGCATGCTCATATCTTTGAAAAAGAGGATTTATAATAATAAAAAAATACTAAGGCCAATTTCTCCTGTATTTGAACTCTCATGAGTTAAGGTTTGTTGTTGGATTTTTGGTTTGTTTGATTTTTTCCTTATACTGTAGTTCTACCTTCCCTCCTCTTCCA